GTCGGGCATGGTGCCGAGGCTGGGGATGGTGGAGAGACGGTTGAAGGAGGAGCGGTTGGGGGAGCAGAAGGGGAGCGAGGGGGGGGCGGTCGAGTAGGGTGTTCCCGGGGCGGAGAGGGTGGTGAGTTTGGTTTCGTGTGGTTCGGTGTCGAGGAATGTGAAGGCGCGGGTGGGGTAGCCGTCTGTGGAATCGGGGACGGGTGTGTATGGACCGGGTGTGGAGATGGTGGATTTGTTTTGGTTTAAAGGTCCTGGGACGGCTGTCATGTCCAGCTTGGAGAGTCGGGAGAGACGTTCTGTGAAAGTGTTTCCGAAGATTGGGGGGGAGTTGGGACGGTCGGGGTCGTATATCAGAGTATTCTTTCGGGAAAGGGTTCGTTTCGGTCGTTCTGGTGGTTTATCTGGTGATGTCTGCTGTGGCAGTGGTGGTGGTTGTGGTGATAGCCGAATAAGCGGAACGGGATCGACCATCGATCGTCCTCGCGTAGGAGAATCCCCATCAAGGGGTGCTGCACTTCTACTTCTCTCCCTCATTTCAGTTCTGGTTGGAGCTCTGCTTGCACTTCGACTTTCGTCCACGAGAAATCCTACGATGTTCCCCGGTAAGCCCGGTGGCAGTTCGACGATCTTTCCCATCTCGTCTATCTCTCTACTGATAGGTCGTCCTCGGGACACACTTCTTTTTCTTTCGCGAGCGAAACCAGTGGGGTCGTAGGGAGACACCACAGGATCGTCAGTGACTCTTCGAAACATTGTTTCTTGGGAATCCCGCGACGTAGGCATGCCTAGGCCCCGTTTTTTCTGCCGACGTTTGCGGCAGCATGTTAAGAGCCAAAAGAAGATTAAGACTGCTATAAAAGCCGTGCCTAGGGATGAAAAAACCAAGATAAGAGCGAAATTGGCTGGGGTCTCTACTATTTTGCCAATTGTATTGTTAGGCAAAAGTGTAGCTTGAGACTTGGAGATTGGATTAGTAGATGTTTGAACATGCAGAGTAATCATGGACTTACGGCCAGGGATGACAAGCTACTTTGAGCTTGTTCTAGTTCGAGACTGACAGAGGCTATACAGGATAATTTATTAGTACATTTACATCTCAGCATGATTAGCCGACGTAAAACTTACCTCTAGCATCATTGGCGGAGGAAATAGCAGCACTGGCACCTGCTATCGCGCTCGCAACAAGCGAGCTTTCCAAACTCGGATTGCTCTGATTAGCTCCGCCGCCGCCTCCCCCTCCACCCCCAGGAACAGCTCCGGGAACAGTCGTTGCAACCACACCATCAGAAAAGGTAATCATAATAGTAGAAAGAACAGTTGTTGGTGGTGTAGGTACACTAGGAGTTATCATAGGCATACTGACGGTAGTTGTTAGATATAGAGTAGAAACAACGGTATTAGTAAGGGGTGGGGGTGGCGGTTCAAGAAGTGGCGGAGGAGCAATCGCAGTGGTAGTATAAACAGAAGTGATGACGTTAGTTAGAGGCGGTGGCGGCTCAAGAGGTGGCGGAGGAGGAGCGCTGATAGTAGTTGTTAAAACATATGTGACGGTATTATTAGGTAGTTGCGCAGGCGGTGCAAGTGGTATTGGAGGTGCAGGCGGAGGAGGAGCGGCAGTCTTTTGGCCTTGAAGTGCTGCCAGTGCCGAATCCAAAGACCTCCGGAGAGCTTCTATTACTTGTGCCGCATTTTGTTCCTGGGTTTGCAACTCTACAGCTGCTGATTGGTGGACAATTTGGAGTTGGGCAGCGGCTTCTGCAGAAACAGAGGCCACAGCCGATGCAACCGGAGGACCACAGAGTGATAAGCCAGCGATGGGACTAAGAGCATTAAAAAGTGGCTCTTGTCGTCTATCCAGGTTTGGCGGTGAAGTAATAGGACCATAATGAGCCGATGATGTTATTGTTGGTAGTGGAGATTGTTCTGGAGTCTCAGATGCTGGATTCTCTTCATCCGTATCACGCCGAGGAAGATTTGCAAGCCAGTTTCGGTGTTCCGATATCCACTTATTGCTCCTCGCAACGATGTTCCCCAACACCTGTCCATAGGCCATAATAGCAGGGCCATGATGTTGAACTGCACCATCCAGCACCTCTGCTCCATTTGAAGTGATGGCAAAGGCGTTATTGTGAGCATCAGATTCCTCAATCACAACCTCCATCTCAAAACATTAGCACTATTGGGAGCCTGCCCGTGACCTTGATATAGCGGAAAAGAATATGATTAATAATTATCGGTACTGTTGCTTTTTGCGGCCTGGGGTTGAATCCATTTTGTTGCTTAAGGGAAAAGTCCTCACGGTACTCGCTCGACGATCGAAAAGATGAATATCGGAGTCGCTCAGAGGAAACTTGGAGAAAGTTCTGCTGTACCGAGTAGCCTCCATTGGCAGACAATACCAGTCTCGGGGAATTTTCCGTCACAATCATCTGTGGGTAACAAAGTCGCCTCACAACGGCCACCATCTAGGATCATCAAGATGCACATCTGGGGAATAGGTCAACTCTCTTGAGGTCTATTGCAGCTCGTCGCTGGGCGGCCCATGTCACGTCAGACTCCAGAACGTGCAACTCGCAAGCTCTAGCTCAAAGAGGCTAGGTCCATCAGGATTGAAACATTAGAGGCATCAAACCACCACCACAAATTACCAAACCTCGAAACACCTCCAGAAAGACTCGCAGTCCAAACTTTCGCTAATGAACCCCAGTCAGCAAAGCATCCTCTCAACCCCGATGGTCTCAGACCACCTCTCGCTTGATTGGATGCTTCGTACGAAGTCGACGAACCACGATTCTTCTCGAAAGGGTGGATGAAAAAGATGAAGTGTTTCCAACTAGAAGCCATCGAGCAAGAGTAGACTCAAAAGAGAAGGAGTCTTTCTTTGTTGCATCTCGCAATAAATCTCCGAATGGCTAGAGAAAGCATCTGAAATGAATCTGTCACTCCCGTTGAGTTGAGGGCTTGGCGGGGTCTTGGAAAGTGACCGATGGCTTTTTGTCGCTGATACACACCCAAGCCTTTTACCGAGTTTCTTTTCAATGGGAGGGATAAGAGAGGATATACTTCCTGCGGTTGTTATCGAGAAATGGGTACCCCACACCGAGAATATAAATAAACCAGAACTTGATGAACAGCAGCTCCATCCATCCCGAACATCACTTGAATACCCCGGAAAAATGGAAACGAAACTATCGCCCCACCGGTTGTGAGGACCGAGGAAGAAAAGGGGACCCGTACTAGGGCGAACCATATCAACAATGAAATAGGTGTTAGCGTGCTTTTCAAAACTATGCAGGGAAAGGTGGTCTTGTTGAATAGGATCACTACTCGGACACCCAGACTAAATACCGGTAACTGACAGGCAACAAGAAACATCCAACACGTGGAGGAACGTCAATTTCTTCCTCGGTTCTCCGTTGCCGTCCATGTCCAAACTCTACAAGTGACATGCTATTGACCTGTCGGTAGATGTACGAGTAAAGACCCGTGAGTGTGTTTCCTCCGAAGTACTTTCAATGCCACACTTGTTACTGTACTTTACTATCAAAAAGTTTGGATGTGCACAGACTTTCAGCCTCGGAGTCTTGGAATAATCGAATTGATTTTCATATTCCTATCCATGGATCAGGAATGTAAAGTAGAAGTAGTCTGCTATTGATCAGGTACGGAATTCTATATTCTTAAGTGGCTGTATTATAAGAAGAAAAGTTCAGATGAGAAAGCCAATTTGGCTTAGATCATATAATAGCAAAGATATACTGTACTGTACCAAGAGAGGTCGCACAATTTGTGACGGCAGCGGCGCCAACCGTGCCGTGTAGACCCACAAACGGCTGACAGAGATGCTATAGAGGATGAAAATAAATATATAGCGAGTATCGAGTGGAGTACAGCACAAATTCGAATCTTCGGACTGATAAACTGACCATTCTTATATTCATTTGGAGACAGCAATCGTGTAGCCCTCGGAAACTTGAAGCCCTCGGAATCTGGAAGTTGCCGAACTCCAAGCTCTCACTCAACTTGAGCTCGAGCTTCCTGCATTTGACACTCTAGCCAAATATCACCGCACTCTTCGTCAAACGCTTTCCGAGGCCATGGATCAGTACAGCATCTAACCATGCTTGATCGCTCTCTTCTGACCATCCGCGCTCGGGGCCCCATCCGACAACTTTATTGTACCTGCGAATAACTTCGCCCAGACCACTCATCATGTCACCAGTTCTTCCAACAGAAGGATACGCATCAAACTCTACCACTTGGACACTAGGTATAGCATCTAGAACCTCTGTCAAAAGAGCAGCAGAAAACTTCTCGTACGCACCATCGCCCATTCGAAAGCCTTGAAAGATTGCATCACTAGGATCACATTCCACAAACACCTTCAAGACCCTGACATTCTCGCAGTCTGCCAAACCTAACGCGTCATTCACAACCCACCCTCGAGGGGGATTGTTGAAGCCTGGCCCAAGACGCAGTTCGAGGGTGGCCATAGATGCGCGATAGTGGGCTGGCAGACGCGCAAGAAGTGGTTTCTTGGTTTTAAAATAGCGTCCTGGGTATGTAGGAAACAATCGAAAGGTATGTGTGCTAAAGAATTGCTGGGTTGCTTCGAGGTATATCTGTCGTGATACGCGGAACAGAGCCAGCAGCTTCAGACGGATAAGGACGGCGAATGTGTGTGGATCGAGATCGATCACTGCGGGCGCTGGAGAGAATACCATCGAGTATATCTTCAACCTCAACTCCAATGGTAGACGTAGCAGAGGAAAGGCGACATTTCTCCTCATCGCCGTATCATCTTCGTCTTCCGTAGCATATGCGGCAGGGGAGGGTGAGCTTGTAGACGCCTTCGACGTGGACATGTCGTGTGGAGAGGTGGTCATGGACAGACTCTGGTTCGAGATAGGTGGAGGTCTGGGGGAGGGTCTGGCAGAAATCGAAGTCGCAATTGCAGTCGCATCTTGGGACCTCGAGGCAAGCTTTTTGCCTTGAGCTGGGCGGTTCGAGGGCATGATGACGACGAATGGTCTCGTTAAGTGCAGGATGGGTCATGGGAGATTACTGGAACGACACGATCGAGAGAAGGTGCAGATGCAGGTGATTGTGAGAGGTGTAATTATGTATAGGTATTGCTTTGTACAGGGTACAAGTAGAGTAGCTGGCTATGAATGTTCTTGTGGTGGTGATATCGACATATAACGGGATCGAATTGCTCTGGGGACCAGTACTCCGAAAAGTACTGGTCTAACATCCAATTCTTGAATAGGTCATGTTTGTCTCCTCAACCTGTACAACTCTACGTCCAACGGAGAAGGGATAGAACGTAGCGTCAAATTTCTTCGTGAGTGTCAACTTTGAAGAGGGAAGCAATTTCTGCGCGGGGGCGACATCTTTATACGAGCATCATCGGAAAAGCTTTGATCCGGGTCTAGCCGCATGCGGAGTAGCCCTAAAAATATTTTGGCTGGTGATGGAGCTGTACCAACATTCAATTGAGTGCGGGAGGCCTTGGAGGCGCGACAGTATCAACCCCAACATATTCGCCTTCTTCCCTGTCCTTTTTGCACCCGGTCGACTTCTTGACTGAAGTCCTTTTCCTGTACTACTAATCGATATGTTGTCTCGTTCCGTGGCCCGATTGCAGCATCCTGGCTTGAGGATAGCTTCAACGCAAACGCCACGAATAGCGTCATCTGTATGGACTCGATCCATGGCGCGCAACAACAAGCCAAACAACCAGAACAAACCGCAAGGATCGACAGCAAAATCTGGGCATCAACCACGTCCGCCTCCGCCGCCGGCTGGCGCATTCAAAACACCACAGAGTAGCCATAGAGGGGGGGAAGTAGCTGCGGGGGGAGCACCTAATGCCACTTCCAAAACAGACGCAGAATCCGCGTACTCAGAAAAACAAGAAGAATTCGAGACCGTAGCCACTCCTTCCGAATCGCAGTCTGCCATTGATGCAGCAGAGACCGAGGCGCATCAACGACCTCTTCCAGATCTGACCCAGGGCATTCCCTCCACTCTGGAGTATGAGACCATTGATAGCACCGGCAAAAAGAACCTCCCAGCATTCGACTTGACGGAAGCTTCAGAAGATGGGCCAGGTGGACGGGGCCGGGGAGAGCTACCAGCATCTGCATACATGACCTCTGCCGAGAAGAAGCGCTTGAGAATGGCCAACTACATGTACGCCGCATTTGCGGCTGCCGTCGTTGCGGGGACTGTGTACTTGGGGAGGAATTGGGATACAGAGGAAGAGGCAGTCAAGCACGCAACCGAGGCCCCTTCAGGGTGGAGTCTGGTTCTGATGTGGGCTCGTGCGAGGGCTCGTCTTTCCGACCAACTCAATTACTACAGCGAACCCGCATTCCCAAAACTCCTTCCTGATCCCGACCCAGTGTTCGAAAGACCATACACATTGGTGTTAAGTTTGGAAGATCTCTTGATTCACAGTGAATGGACTCGGGAGCATGGGTGGAGAATGGCAAAACGTCCTGGAGTTGATTATTTCCTGCGTTATCTGAGCCAGTATTTCGAGATAGTTGTTTGGACGAGTCAACCAATGGGAATGGCCGAGCAGGTTGTCCGAAAATTTGATCCATTCCATATAATTACGTGGCCACTCTTCCGTGAAGCCACACTTTATGAGAATGGAGAATATATCAAGGTATGAAGTACGTTTTCTCAAATTTGGATCTGTAGCTAATCTAACCAGGATATCTCGTATCTCAATCGTGATCTTTCAAAAGTAATTGTCGTCGACACTAAAGCCGCACACGTCAAGAATCAACCTGAAAATGCTATAGTACTCAAGCCATGGCAAGGACAAGTCGGGGACAAAGATCTTGTCGGCTTAATCCCATTCCTTGAATACATCCACACAATGAACTACCAAGACGTCCGCAAAGCCCTCAAGTCCTTCGAGGGTAAACACATCCCCACCGAATTTGCCAGACGTGAAGCCATCGCGCGACAAAAATTCCAGCTGGAGCTCGCCGAGGAGCGAAAAAAGCGACCCAAGCACAGTGGTGCAGGATTCCTCGCCAGCGCATTGGGAATCAAGCCCGCTGGGGCCATGATGATGGATCCTAACGACATTACCCCCGCCGAAGCCTTTGCGCAAGGGAAGATGCTTCAGGATCTGGCGAGGGAACGCGGACAGCGGAATTACGAGGCGCTGGAAAAGGAGATCCGGGAGAATGGGGAGAAGTGGTTAAAAGAGGAGGCGGCGCAGGAGGAGAAGATGCGAGAGGAGGGCATGAAACAGATGAAGACTGGTTTCTTGGGATACTTCGGGGGTGCTTCTCCTGAAGCGTCAAAGTAATTGTGTTTTGGGAGGTTCTACAAGTAACAACTTACTAATTCTCAGAAACGGATGAATGGGGGTTTGCTTGGAAGGGGGTTTGCTTGGAAGGGGGTTTGCTTTGGAGGGGGCTTGTGTATATTACTTTACTTCTCTCTCTCACCGTTTGGGAAGGAAGGGATGCCCTTCTGTATTTGGAGCGTCTTTTCAGTCTGTCAGCGAGCTGGGAATCTTTTTCTCTTGGGTCTTGGAACTGCGGATATTCTCTCTTCTCTACACAAAAGGACAGGACGGTTGGGTTTCGATTTTTTGATGCAGCCGGCGTAGGGGCGTTGGATGGTTGATTGCATGGATGACTGGAGGGGTTTGCTTGTAGGTATAGAGAGGAAAGGAGGGGTGTATGATAATATGATATTGTGTTTATGATAATACTTTTTTCGAAAATTTTGACTTCTCCGTCGCCCCTTGCCTAGGAGAACTGTATCCCCCCTGAGTTAAGCGAGGCCAAGGAATCGGAAAGGGATTGGAGCACCGCAATTTGCAAAGATACTATACGAGTTTGAAGTGTGTCCCTGGAGAATATCGTAAAGTATCTAGGTAAGATATCGATTTAGGGTGATTATGAGGTGACTTTTGTCCTATAATTTAATTGGTATTTCGTAACGGGGCAGCTGCTCGCTAATGGCGTTATAGCAGGGACATCTCGTCTTTCGGATCATTGGACGTACTCGGCTCCTTTTGCGCTTCAATGTCTTTGGCCTGTTTTTATTCTTATGGGTAGTGTCTGGGCGCCTGAGAGCCCTTGGTGGTATGTTAGACAGGGACGGTTGGGGGATGCTGAGATGGTACTGGGGAGGTTGAGTGGTAGAGGTGTGGATTGGAGGGGGATAGTGGGGGTTAGGGGGAGACTGATAGGTTGGAGGATGAGATGGGGATTGGAGGAGGGTATTGGGATTGTTTTCGGCATGTGAATTTAAGACGGAGGGAGATTTGTGGGGGTGTTTTTGTGACGCAGGTTCTGGCTGGGTGTTATACTATTGGATATACGAGTTTGTGGTTTCTGTGTGAGTTCTCTTGTTTGGTCTGGAAGGTGAGGGAAAGGAGGTGGGGGGATGGAAGTTTGATACACAGATAAAGACTAAGAAAGATATTTATAGTGGCGGGACTCACAGGCTCAAAGGCTTTCGATATGAGTGTCGGCTTCCTAGCTGTAGGATTCTGGGAACATGTCTTTCTTGGATCGCGATATCTAAATATGGCCGACGAAGAATCTACAATATTGTTCTCTTCCTGCTAATGGTAATCATGTTCCTCATTGGGCTCCCAGATTTTGCTCCGGATTATGAAAGTCGGACGGGAGTAATATGGGCGCAATGTACTCTACTGGAAAGATTCAGTTTACTGTGTTGAAGATTACATACAGCCATAATGAGATAGCCCCAAGTCCCAGCTCTGCTCTCTCCAGGCCCCTTTAAAGTATCAAACAAGCTCGCTTAGCAATTAGGAAAGTTTCTGGAAATGCTCATTTCCCCAAGAATGCACTTCTTGAAGTATCTATGTTGAAGAACCGTTCGTGATTGGATACAGTCGTAGGACCTTCGCCTCGTGTGACATAACCTCTGTAGTATAGGTAATATCATATGGGCCATGATCTTCGTGCTTCCATAAATCGCGTAGTCGATACGTATCCCAGTCTATAGTGAGATCTCTTCGTGGACTTACACTCATCTCAGCAGTCGATGAACCACGATTTAGAAGCGCGACAGCATAACTTCCGTCGGACATTTCTTTGGCGTAGACTTGTAACGTGCCTCCATCTCCCGGCTCCTCTCTTACCACCTCTGCAGCGGCTCCCATTAGGTCTTGGCTCAATTCGATGACTTCTTTATTCATGAGGGTTTCTAACGTTTCGGTGCTGAGAGTACGAGCGTCTGCTCCGATAAGAAGTGGGGAAGTGGCCATTGCCCATAGACTGAAATGAGATCTGTACTCAACGTCTGATGCTCCAGTACCCAGAAGCTGACTACTCTGACCGTTGAGCCCGACAATAAGCACTGTGTCATCAGGATCTCCCAGTCAGTCTATCTCCCCGAGAAATATTCAAGAATATTTTGGGAATAAGAATTCTTACTCCCAAAAAGCTTAAAACATAGGAATACACCCAGAAGATCTCACTTAATATCATAATCATTCCAATGCCCTGGGCCAGTGTATTGAGTGAGGTTGTTCCCTCTATCCAACATATCCAAGACATCAAAGAAATACTTCTGACGGTTTCCAGGGTAATTGAAATCGTCACTAATGTCTTGACCAATCCGCCATTGATTTGCACCCACTGAAGCAGCCCACTCCCAAATATTGGCCCATCCGCAATGACATGCGTGATAAACTATAGGGTGAGTTTGATTCCTTAAGGCAAGTGACATTTTCAGAAACACATTTTTGACCTCTTCTTGAGGTGCATTTTCATGAGAGCAACAAGCCTAGAGAATGGAATGTCAGGTCTGCCTCTCTAGAGTAGTCTCAGAATTTTACATATGACAAACGCTAGGAAGTTATTGAGGAATAAATCAAGTATAACTCGAGAGAAAAGAAGTGGAAGAATAGTGTTCCCACTTACATCGTACTTGAGATGATCAATTCCCCAAGATGCAAACATAGCAGCATCCTCTGCCTCATGATTCGCACTGCCTGTGTAGCCAGCACACGTAGTTTCTCCCGGTCCATTATAGATACCCAATTTGAATCCCTTACCATGGGCGTAGTCCGCCAACGCTTTGATACCTGATGGAAATTTGACAGGATCTGCCTCAAGAGGGTGATCTTTTCTATCTCCTTTGTATCGCTGCCAGCCATCATCTAAATTGACATAGACGAACCCGGCTTCTCTCAAGCCATTTCGGTCCATAGAATCGATAACCTGCTTGAACAAGGTTTCGTTGATGTTGTCTCCGAAATTGTTCCAGCTACTGAATCCCATTGGGGGAGCCAGTGCTAGTCCATTGGTGATATTGGGGGTATTCGCAGCATAGGTGATACAGGCTGAGGCGAGCAAAGGAAGTATATGGGATTAAAACATGGCAATTGGTTATTAGAATGCTAGGATTCATAAGGGCAAGAGTCTGTAAATATGATTTCTGAACGGCGGGGTATGGATTGTGGATGGCCTTGGAATGTGATCGGTCCTGAAGCCACACACTAATTTGGCTTGAAGAACGATATATCCCCTAAAGGTCGCACATGTCTAGCTGGGTTTGGGTGTTTACGATTTCCTATTTGAGCGGTCGGACCGATCGGAATTTTGCCTAGGCTCAATCAGGGGCTTGCTCCGCACCAATCAAGGAACACTATCCTTCAGGACCAAGACTAAAAGTGGATACCTTGAACCTTAAAATCCAGCCAGACATGTGCAATCTTTAAGTGATAACGACTCAACGAGACCTGCCCCTGCTCAATGACTAGCAAAATCCAATCTAGAGAAATGACATGACTTGTTTTTTCAGGCAGTCTACAGTTAGTTGCTGTAAGGTAACCTTGATATCTTACGACTAAGAGGGTTTTGGTGTCGATTTGGCTGCTTGTCTCAATAGATGGTGAGCATTTAATCCCCGTTTGTGCAACTTACAACAAGTTTCCATGCGAGACGAGAATACACTTATCCAGCGGCCCGATGCATATTTTACGTAGTACCGCCCGCTCTCATGGTGGACAACATAAAGTGACGAGAAGCATTATTGTCCAAAAGCTAGGTAGTTAAACAGGTGAATTTGACACTAGAATTATTAGAACAACTTCTTGGAGTGATTTTCATAATTACTTAATTTGATAGCCTGTTTTAGCCTAGAAAAGCACCTTGCTGGGAATATGAATATATTCACTGCTACTTTTCATGTCTACCACGTGCCCGATTGCGACCGCGCCGGTCATGTGGGGCATCGCTTAGACCTCGGGAGCGCGTATTGCTAATGAAGGAAGTAAAGTGGGGGGAATAGTAGAGATGTACAAAGAACTTCCATGGAGCTCAATAAGCCTTTCAAGGGATCCAAGGGATCGGGGACAATAGTCCTATTGCCGCTCTATCATACATCCTGCTCAGTTGAGTTCAATTTTGCGTATTTGATTACTTGTTAGGGACTCTTATCTCCGCTCTTAGCCGCGATTCGTGAGTGGTGGCGTTTGGGAGAAAGGGGAAGTGGGGTTTAACCCACTACGTTGGGCCTGTGTAGAGATGGGGTCTAATGCTGAGACAACGGCCTTTGGCTTCACGTAATCTCAATTAATGAACGGCTTTTGTACGATTGTTCGTTACTACATTTACGTTACTGAAAACCCGACTTTTTGCCCGAAAAACTTGATAGCACAATCCCCTCCAGACTCCATAGGGATCGAAAATACGTGCACTAACAACTAGATATATGTGGATGAGATAAATGGGTCAAATTAGGGCTCAAACTCTTGGGAAGGGGGCTTGGTTGGCCAAACGACTTTGTTTTACGGAGAATGACCCCTCTGGGAACTCGGTAGCAGAGATTCTCGTACACGTACGAAAATTTCGTACACAGGCCTAATTAGGTAGTTAAAAGTAGGGAACCCAGGGATACTGTTGAAAAGGTGATATAAGTGTTCGATATATTTAATTGATATGAGGAGCAATCTAGAGGGGATTGCTCCTTACTTATATATATAGAGGTTTAGTACGACCTATATTAGTCTCTTACGTAACCTAATGTTTAACACTCCTACTTAAACTAAGTTAACGTGCATGTATAGCGAACCGGCCAAACAAGCGAACCGGCCAAAACCCGGCGACCCCACCACACCTCCACGAAATATTAAATTTCTCTACAACGAAGGATGCCTCTGAAAAATGACGAAAGCCGGTTAGTCTTAGCTATCCAAGCTATGCAAAAAGACCCAAATTTACGTGCTCGAGCTGCTGCTAGGACCTATTCTGTAGACCACCGGAAGCTAGGTCGACGTTTGCTTGGTATACCTTCATGACGCGATATTTTAGCCAATTCACGGAAAATGACCGAGCTAGAGGAATCAGTACTTGTTCAACATATCCTCGACCTAGCTAAGTTGAGCACGAAGCTCCTATCTAATGGCAGACATGCCATCTTATATAGAACCTTCGTTCCCATGTGGATCTGAGGATCCCCCAGATCCCTTGTCTGGATCCTGGGATCCTCAAGATCCCAAGATCCATCACGTGACTACATACAATGAAATCCTTGGATGGAGCAGCAAGCCTGCCCCACCCTTCACTTGCTATAAGAGCCCAATGATAGTGCTTAACCTGTCAGGACGCCGCCTGGTCTTCACTCGTCACATGCTAACACGTGATTCGTGACAGTTTAGTACGACCTATATTAGTCTCTTACGTAACCTAATGTTTAATACTCCTACTTAAACTAAGTTAAACTAAGTTACCTCTAAATCTAAACTTTAATAAACCTTTAGCAAAACTTTTAAAGGGTAAAAGCTAGGGAAGAATAAATAGTTCTAGCTTCCTTAGTAATTAATTTCCTACTTAGCGTCTACTATGTTTATAGTATAATTACTAATTACTAATTCCTCTAGGGTAGGTTCTTCGACCTTATTATTAGAGAGAAAGCGGATAGTATCGTTATCTTACTAGTCCAAGTAGTTCTTCTTATATTCCTATAAGTATATAAGGAGTACTGTGAGAGGCCAGACCTCGAATAGTTCAAAGGTGTGGTTTCGAATATTCAATTAAGAAGTGCGTGAAGACTACATACATGCAAGCTCTTCCTCTATATATAGAGAGAGGAAGAGTCTCTGGAATATTCCAGGAAGCTGCCTAACGACTACATGTGTGACGGTTCAGACCGTCACGTGCTACCTATCACGTGGTGTCGCTTAGCGACCCACACCTTGTATTTAGATCGAAGCTCTCTCGAGCTCTCCTCTTCTCCTCAGCTTAGAATCCTCGTATTTGACAGTTTCTACGATTCCACCTCTCCACCGTGGGCCTTGCGTACGTGTCGTCACAAAGTCTTATATAGAACCTTCATCCTCAAGTACTATGATCTGGGTAGCCAACTCGCCTGTCGAGCTGGCGGTCCGTTTCGCTAGGTCGCCGAGCGATCCAGCGATCCAACTTAATCATGTGACCATAACCAATGGAAATCCCTGGATCGCTTAGCTACCCTAAGCGATCCCTATTTGCTATAAGAAACCTGGGTATGCCTGTCGAGGGTTGCGCCTCTTATTATGACAAGTATCACGTGAGCACGTGATTCGTGACAAATAGACAGCTCCTATATTAGAGCTTCGCTCTTCCCTAGCTAGCTTCTCTCTATATTCTAGCTTATCTATTCTATATTATACCCTTGTCTTCTAATAAATACCTACTACTTATACTTAACTTAACTTAACTCTAAGTAACTTAGAGTAGTACTCGAGTTGTTAAGTAGTTTGTTATAACGCTAGATAAGATAGAATTACTAGGTTAGGTTATAGTTTGTTTAATCTTTGGTTAGTGTTTGTTTAGTTCAGTTTCGTTACTTAATTTTAATGGAAATCTTTAGGGATTTTTATGACCTTGAAATTAACCTTAAACTGAGCAGATTCAAATAATTGCTACACTGATATAAGGACTTGGTCGAGTTTGTAGCGAGACCAAGATGTATCGCTTAACCTGTGACGGTTCAGACCGTCACGTGCTACCTATCACGTGGTGTCGCTTAGCGACCCACACCTTGTATTTAGATCGAAGCTCTCTCGAGCTCTCCTCTTCTCCTCAGCTTAGAATCCTCGTATTTGACAGTTTCTACGATTCCACCTCTCCACCGTGGGCCTTGCGTACGTGTCGTCACATTATTCTAAGCTCTCCCACACTGCCTGGGAAGGCTTTATTGAATATCCCTTCCTATCTATCCGTCGCGGTAGAAGGACCCTACGATCCTCAACTGCCTAGCCGCAGAGCTTTTCAGAAGGAGTTGAGAAGATCTAGCGAGCAGAGTGCCCTGGATATACACCAATTCAATAGATCGACGTCGCGCCTACGACCTTACCGATCTACATCCACAACCTCACCTTTACGAACTACATACACCTATCGCCACGATGGTACCACCAAGAACGCGTCCTACAGGAGCGCACCCGAAGAACTCCGCAAGAGCGGGACAAAGCTCCACCGACAATGCCGACACCCAGGAGGAGACGATCTACGTCGCCGACGATGGTACCCAGCAGCAAGACTCCGACGACTACGACGATGCCGGGGAGGTCAACACATCTCAGCTTCAAGAACAGATCCGTGCCCTCTCCAAGAACCAGTCGAACACCGACAACGTGCTAGGTCAGATCCTAGATCGACTTACTACTTTAGGTAGTACGAGCCACAAACAACCGGCAGCCTCGTCACCTTCACCTCAAATTATCGCTCGATCTATTGAACGCAATACCCCTGATCCAGCGACACCGAGCTCGATTACTAGCCTCAAGTACTCAAAGAAACAGCCAGATCCCCAGCCTCTTTCCGATGGTCAAAACCCTACCTTTCCTAGCTGGAAGATCCAGATCCAAGGCAAATTCCGAAGCAACGCAGATCACTTTCAAGATGAGGAAGACAAGATGTTGTACTTGTTTAATCGTACGACCGGCGACGCCCAGCGACACCTCCAGCCCCGCTACGACGAAGACTCCCAAACACGTTTTACATCTACTAAAGAGATGGTCGAATACCTTGCCTCTATCTACACCAACCCCAATCAAGTACGAGACGCTAGATATGAATACAACCATACTTGTACGATGAAGACAAGTCAGACGTTCGCTGAGTTTCAGACCCAGTTTCTACATCTGGCAGGTGAAGCCCAAATCCCTCAAGAAAGCCTTCGTTTAGACTTGTACGACCGATTGACGACGCCGCTCCAGAGAGGAATAGCCCCAATGCTCCGCACCTTTAGCACATACCAAGAACTGTCAGCTAGTTGTATGTCTTTGGACACTGAATTAAAGCGTATCACCGCAAGAGAGGAGCGCCAGAAGCGATACAGAGAAAAGTCGACTACGCAAACCCCTCGAGCTTTAGCTTCAGCATCTAGTCCCGTTCCTACCCCACGCTCTCCACGCTCTACGTCCGAACTCCCGCCGCGCACGAAGACCCCTACTCCTGAGCGCGCCACTAGCGAAAAGCCC